TTCCTTCCTTCCTTCCTTCCTTCCTTCCTTCCTTCCTCGTTAAACACAAGCATGTTACATTCTATAAGGGATAACAAAAATGATGTGGCCAGACGCTGCCCTTAAAAAAATGATCTTGAAGGTCATTTTTGCATCACTGCACAGCATATGTTAAGCTTCTTTCAGGAAAACGCACGTGTGCTTAAAGCAGTGAACTGATCTGCCCATCAGAGAAAGTCAGGGGAAGATCAGGGCTGTGCTGCTGAGCGTGCCCTAAAAGTGTAAATCTTCCCCTCTCGCACAGGGGGTGCTGCAAAAACCCAAGCGGGAAAGGACAGTGAAAACGCAGCTCGGACCTCTGGGCCGTTTTCCCCTCCCACCTTCCTGGTTCAGGGACAGCTGGCGGTCCTGGTCGTGGGCCCCGCCTCTGCCGTTGTGCTTCAGAGGTCAACGCGTGTGCATCTGTGACGAGCATTCAGCTCGCTGCGTGCTCTCCCACGCTGTGCGGAGATCAGCCACAGTCAGGGCCAAGTGCTGAGCCCAGAGTTGCGCCTTCTGAGCCACATCGGCCGTTGCGTTCTGGCCTTAGGAACGCCTCACCCACACAGCAGGGGAGCTTCTTCGCCTCAGGGGCTGCAGTTGTCCTTTGCACCCTCCCTGGGAGCTGTGGGGTGAAGCAGCAAGAAATTGGGTGGGGCTGAAAGATTTTCCGTCGGATTTTGCAATTTTGGAAGAGGCTAAGGGGTGTGGTGGAGGTCTTAGGTTTGCATCGACTTAAGGCACCTGTTCTGTCCCTGAGACAGGGGAACCTGCAGGCATGGAGTCAAAAAAGTCACGATGGTGGCCATAACCATGTGATTGAGGCCCCACCCCTTTTTTAATGTGCACAGCAAGACCTCCCTAAAAGGGGGAAGTATTGGAGATTGGGGTACCAAAGAGCACTGCAAGCCTTAAAAGATATGGGCGCCCTGAAGCCAAACTCAAGTTCTAGTGCAGTGTTTCTCAAACTTGACCACTTTAAGATGTGTGGACTTCAACTCCCAGAATTCCCCAGCCAGCCAGTCCCATTGGAATTCCCCAGCTCAGTCATTCCATGCATCAAACGAATTGGCCCCTGAGCAGGAATAGGCCTGAAAGAGCTGGGTAGAGTAGTGGTAAAAAAGTGGTGCCGCGTACTGTAACTTCTGGTATTTTAATCCCCAAGCCTTTATAGTACTTCGCCTAACAAAAACCAGAATTGCCCGCTATTAAATGTGCAAAAGCAGAGCTGTTCTGTGCACATCCCCAACAGTGCATTTCCTTCAGCAAGCAGCTTTCCCAAAGCGCTGAATGGCGACCTTGAAAATGGCCCTTTTCAAGACCATTGGTAAGAGCAGCGCCACCCCACATTCCTGCCCGCTCTTTGGACTCGACCAGTCTGACGTGCCCCTGCTTTTAATGCACCAAACCTGGAAACGGACTTTTTGTTTTGGGGTTTTTTTACATTTCTTGGATCTTGGCCTGGCTGCCATTGTACAAGAAGGGAATTTGGCTCCATCGATGCCATGTTAAAGATGACGAAGGCAACCCTTAGTTGGCATGGTCTGTGCGTGGCCAGCTCCTGCCGCTATAATGGTGAGAAGGGGGGGGGGCTTTTCACAGCAGAGGAGGAAGGGGGGCTGGTTCTTACTCCCAAAATGAGAACTGAAGGCTGCCCCAAATCAAGGGGGCTGATATCCAGTCAGAGGCCTTGATTAATGCTATGGAATTTTAGCCATTTGGGGCCCTTCCTGATTATGCCAAAGCATTCCTATTGTGAGCTGCCCAGAGTGTGGTTCAAGATGGGCGGCTATACAAATGTTATAAATAAATAAATAATACCATGGCTAGACCCAGAAGCCATTTTTTCCTAGCCTTTGTTTTCTTAAAAGTAACCAGAACATTATGATTAGCGATAGCCATAACTATAATCTACTGTTCGATCTCAGTGGCTAGTATTCACAGGTCGGTTTCTAATGCACATGGAAATTCATTCTACTATAGCCTGTATTTCCAGTTTTGCTGCCTTTCAAGAAAGCATTTGATACTATCTACAGAGAGGAAAATGTTCACCTGGCCATCTTCAGGATGGATTAGAATGGATCCGTGGGAATCCGATTCATCTGAGGCATTAAAAGTTGTTGATGGCTGTTTCCATCCATTTTCTTCTCGTACGGAAAATATTCAAAACTGAAGCTGTTCCTGGTCAGCAAGAAATCTCTGAACTCTGAGCCTGCTAAATAGGGAGTCATTCCCACCAAACACCCCATTGGTTGAAATTAAGGGCAGAGAAGGGACCGCCTTCTCCGGCAGGCTCCAGGCCGGGCAAATCTGCTCCATTCTGTGCCACCAAAGTTTGTGCAACTTAATCAGCACTTTTCACCTTTTGGATATTTATTCAAAGCATTGATCTCTGGCCCTTAAGTTAACTCCCATAGCTGGGCTGAGATAACAGCAGGTTCCATCCAATGAAACTCATTCCTTTTCACAAAGAGGGGAAGTGCCTCCTGATGCCAGACCAGCTGCCCCCAGCCCAGGATGCTCACCCGCCACTTCAGAAGGTTAGGGGCACCCACAAGCCAGGTCAAAAGAGTCAAGGTGGTGGCTTTGATCATGGAACTGCAGCCTCATCTTGACTCCCCCTTGGACACCCCGTCTGCATCTGCAGGATGACTGGATGCCTTCGCTCGGCACCCACGTTCACTCGAAGAGCTTAGCCTGATCTAAAGCAAAAGGTCTTAGTTTGTGTCAGGAGGAGCCAAGGCCAGTCTTAAAGGACTGGATGGGGTAGCTGTGAAAACGAAGAAATCAGTGTGCAGGCAGACCTCGGAGATATTGCGGGTTTGGTTCCAGACCCCTGCAATAAAGTGAGTATCACAGTAAAGCGAGTCACGCGAACTTTTTGGTTTCCCACTGCATATAAAAGTTATGTTTGCACTGTACTGTTAAAAAACTGTCTTATTAAAAAATGCAGTATCTGTGAAGCGCAATGAAGTGAATGCTCAATAAAACGAGGTAAGCCCGCAGTTATGCTGAGAGATGAGTGGACATGAGAAGAAAGCAGATGAGCTCCGTGAGGTACCCACGGTAGACCTGCTGAAGTTCTTCCAGAATCCTTACACCCCTTTGCTTTTCAGGAACCCTTCGCTGAAAAAGCCGGGTGGGGCTGCGGGCAGCTGAACCTGGCACGAGATATCAGTCCCACTTGGGCACTTGAGATGAAGGTTGGGGGCCTTCGGGCACACAGGCTGCCTGATCGAGGACAGCGTGTTCGGCAGCGGAAAGGACTTGGCCAGAGCTTCGAGGGAAGCAGCGGGCAAGCCAGTGCTTCTCAGGTGCCCCTTTTGGGCGCTTGCCACTCTGCCCCATCTCCGTCCCCGCTCCCTCTGCCGTGCTTGACTCCCTGCCCCCCTTCTCCTTTCTAGGCAAACTGTCCCTGGAGGAGTTCATCAAAGGCGCCAAGAGCGACCCCTCCATCGTGAGGCTGCTGCAGTGCGACCCCAGCAGTGCCTCGCAGTTCTGAGCACCTCCCCGCTGCCCGGGAGGCCTCCGGATGAGTCCACCTCCCCAAACGGCACCCAACTTCGCCGGGCCGCCTCCGAGGAAGTCACCAGCCTCCTCCCGTTCCTGCTGGGAAACTGGACATCGAAGCAAGGAGCACCTGCCAGTCTACTGGTTTTTCCTGACTCACAGATTCTTTCCCCCCCTTTTCCCCTCCCTGAACACTGTAGTTTGGTGTGAATGTTACACAGCATGGGTTGCGGCTGAGGTTGGCGATGGCAAACCTGGAGTCAGAGGACCGGTCCCTCTTCTGGCAACCCTCTGCGTTGGGGTCAGCAAAAGGTACTCCTCGCCCACAACACCGCTGGCTCGTCCGCCAGCTGCGGGGGCTCCGAGTGCGAGAGCAGGCTGCGGCTCAGGCTGCAAACGCCAGCGAGGCCTTAGGGCCGCCGAGAGGGACCCTCGCACGTGCCTGGGTCACTCAGAATTGGCGGCATATAAATTTAACAGATTACCATAACAAATTGTTAAAACGACACTAGGGCCGCCCTCAGCGGCTGGCAGATTACGTTACGTAAATGTAGTACAAGTCTGCCCCTTCGCGTTGTTCAGGCGGCTTTCAGCGTAGCAGGGCCGGTATTTCCGGCCAGGATACAGGCACTGCTGAGGACCATCTGGATAATCTGTATTAGGGCTGTGCACCCTTCAAAAATGCTCTGGACTTGTGCTTGTTCCGCACCGCTCTGCTCTTCCTTAAAGCAGCCCTCCTTTCCGCAGAGGGGCAGAGGGGCGCTGAAGCCCAGGCACTTCATTTCTGAAGAATGCCCAGCTTTGCTCTACACTCAGTGGCGCTCGAATGCAAACCACCTTAGCTTAAATGCAGCAGCCCAGCGCAGACTACCTTAAAAGGAATCATGGCTACAGACCCCCACCCTCTGCCCTCCCCTCATCAGGCTTCCCCTTGCCGGGCCTTTTGATTCCGGTTTGCAGCACAAGGGGAGAGGGGCTGCTTCTCAGCCGAGGGGAGCTGACAGCCCAGCCCCTCTCCAGGCGACACAGCCCCCCAACGGGCAACCGACAGCTTTGGGGGCAGAGGGGTCATGCTTGACCAGCAGAGGAGAGAGACCAGCTCGCAGGAGCTGCTGGGTGTGTGGACGCGAGGTGTGAGCTAGCAGCCAGAGCTTGGTGTGAAAGACGTACGTGTAGAATTATTTGTTGACTGTCTTACCTGCTTTTCATTATAAAACGATCCCAATGCAGCTGTGAAAGTCAAAGCCTGGGGATTTCTTTTGCGCATGCAAACTGAAGGGTGCGCCCAGATGTCCACTCCAAGCTGCCTTCTTGACAAGGTCCTCCCTTCCCAGTGTGCAGCGTAAGTTCTTGTTAGACTGAACCACGTGCTCTGATTCACTGCAGCTCGCTTCGGGAGTGACCCACGAAGCCAGGGCGTTGGCAGGCTTCTCTGGAACGGGCTGGCCTGCATCTGGCCCTCTGCTGCTTCTAACCTCTCACCCAGTTCTTAACACTGCCGAAGGAGCTGGTTGTACAAGCCAAGCTTCCTGGCCACTGGTGGATGGAAACATGCATAGAGTGTTTTAGCATGGCCAGAGCTCCTGGTCTGTGCCATCTCTTGGCACTTCATTGCAACCCCCTGTAGGGTGGGCCAATTCTAGTCAAGGCTGAGGGGTAACCGTTCCAAGAGGTCCCTCCGGAGCCAGGGGTAAGCCATAGGGGAGCTGTATCTTAATGCTGGGGGGAGTGGGCCCTCATTCATGGTCCAGCCCAAATTGCCTGACATCAAAAGCCTTCTTGCTGAGGCCGTCTGGGGGAAGGAAGGTCAAAAAGTCAACGTGGCCGTGACCGTGCAGTCGGAGCCCCACCTCTTCTTACATGCACCATCCGCGTGAAACCATCCTGAGTGTGTGCCAGGCTCAGATGCACCTGGCGGCGTCTCGGCATTCCAGGGCTGCCCGGGCAGTTTTGCTCCCAACGAGAAGAGGGTGGGCAGTCCTGCCGCAGCATTTTCCAGCCATGAGACGTCCAAACCCAAGGTGGGATTCTCCGGCTGCGGGGGGATGGAGCTGCGGGGTGCCGGTGGCCCTGCCTGGTTTCCCAGTGACAGGCAAGAGATGAGCAGCCCCTGCCCTCCCACCACCTTTTAGCCCCTGAACTGCACCCCATTTCCTGAAGCCAAGGGAGGCGGGCAGGGGACCCCTTCAAAGCCCCCACGGAAGGACAAGCTAAGGGACCAAGAGCGTCTGGGCTGGAAGCGGAGTGTGGGGGTGTGGAAGTCCTGCTCTTTGGACCCTGGTCAGCTCTCTCGCACTAGAAGGGCCCGCCCCAGCCATGCACCCCCCCCCCATTTTCAGACTACCCATATCACACAGGCCACTCCACCTGAGATGATGGAAATTGTAACCTGCGGTGTTTGGAGGGGAACAGTTTGGAGAGAAACAAATTACAGCTTTTATGAGGCGTCATCTAGAGATGACGCCCCTCTGTGACACGCCGTAGCTCTTGACCGCGTGGGAGAAAAGGCACATACAGAATAGTAAAGCAGCCTGTCTCCAGGATACTGGCTGGGAATTCTAGGAGCTGTAGTCCCAGGGCACCAGGCTGAGGACAGAGGCAGCTTTGAGACTCTTGATCTACACAAGTTTGACTCCCGGCTCTAATTCAAGCGGCAGCTTATTCGTGGCATTCGTATTCCCTGTGAACGAACACCCGGAAGCTAAGATGGGGGGAACGGTCTGCAGCTGTAAAAGGTGGGGATCCCGAGGAGGAGCTGGCAAGCCAGCAGAGAAGGAAGGGCCAGTTCTCAGCCAGTTCTTGTAACTAATTTATTTATTTGTCAGGTTTTTATCCCCTCTTTAGTTCAGGAGTTCACGGCAGCACACAGAGCACTCCATCCTCCTGGTCTTCCTCACAACAAA